ACTGACAGTTTAGTTCAATCCATGTTACTTGCTCTGTTGAAACTGGTGAATGGTCAGTCTGACATGCCTCTGCAATAGCCTTAGCTGATATCTCTGTAAGAGCTGTCAACAGGGACGGACTATTAAATCCCATATGTTTTAAGTAGTTAAACATTTTAGGTTAATTGTTAAAAAATTATAACTTGTATAAATTTACTTTTGTGGGTTGATGCAACTATTATATAAATTTCCAAATTCTTTTTTGCATTTTTTATGGTATTCCCACTACAACATATGCCAATAATTTAGGTTTAAATGTAAATTTGTTTTTAGATTTATTGGGTGGTTTGTTGCTGATTTTTCCACTTAACACCGATTAAACATGGGTATTTTTACATACCATGAGGGTGGAAAATGGTTATTCACATTCTTATCAAAGTATATTACAACTGTGGTGTACCTGCCCCCAATGCAATCATAATACTTACTCTGTTTAACTGGGAGTGTAAATAGCCACACCTTGTTGTTTAATTAACACCCTTTCATAACATAATATGTGTATAACTTGTTTGAAATTGCTATTTTTTCCAGGCAATGGTTGTGGTCATTTCCAGGCCACCACCAGATAATTGGTTTGCCAGGGATAAAATGGAGCCAACTCTAAACTAAAACTACATATAACTAACTCTCCTTGTTTACCCAGAGATTTTGCCACTTGTTTTCAATTATTTTTTCCCAGTGGGGGATCATTCAAAAGTGGCCAGATGCATTGGATACAAACCTTTGTTCCCAGTTGAAACGTGTGGGGTTGCAAGGTGCCTGCAAATGGGTGGGGGTGTGTTAGGTATCAGGATCGAAGAATGGACAGTTTTCCCTCTGTTGCCCAGTCCATTTTTTGCAACTCTTGATCCCTCTCAGCCTTACTTTTCTTTACTTCTTTAGGAGACGCAGGGGGAGGGTGGATTCTTTTTCCTAACACCGGTGGCGTCCAGCTGCCTATTTTACCATTGTTACGAACTTTCCTATTTGCCACGAACCCAGATTCTTTACATGATGCCCTTCTCTGACGGGACTCTTTGCCCTGCAAACCGAATAAACCAGCCTGCAATTGTCCCAACTTCAACACATCCCAGGCTGTTGATCCCCTGAGTTAAAGCTCTTCCCCACCCCAGGACCAGAGGCCGAAATGATAGTCCCCAGTCCCTCTTCCTGGGGTTTTCGGAAGCTGCCTGTTCCTCCTCTCCAGTATTCTCACCACCTGGTCAGCATCTTTTTAGAGCAGATGAATTCTGGATGAGCAGCTGTTTTTTGATCCAGAATTCACAGGAGTTGCTTTTATTGGAACCATCTCCCCTTCATTTCCTTCTTCCCCGATGGGTTGAAGGTCCACAGGTTGCCCCCCCCCCCCCAGGCTTGTTGGGCCACGTATATCAGAGCTCCCCTTTTGCAGACCAGCTGGTGGATTTCCTCCCCACAGGGCGGCTGCTGGACTTTTTTCACTGCAGCCCTTGTTTAGTTTCTGCAGAATCCCGGATGGTCTTCAGCTTCCTTCAGGTCCTCCTCCTGTGCCCCTACCTGGATTTGGGGTGTCTAAAGAGCTGCTATCTCTCTGCTCAGGAGGGCTCAATCTTGTCCTTCATCATCTGGGCACCTCTTTCTGCCTTCTTCTTCTTCCTCAGATCCAGTAGATCCTGGCCCTCCTCTCTCCTCTTGTTAAGAAAATTGATTGAAGTTTCTCAAACTGATCTAATTCCTCTCTGTTCTGATGACTCCTAGGTGTTCTGCTGTTTTGGATCACAGTTTCTTTAACTTGTTCTCTAACAGCCTTCAGTATTTCTCCTGGTAAGGGTTTCCAGGAACTTTTCTGGAGCTCCTTTTTTCTTTGGTTTGGCTCCTGGTTGCAAATCATTAATAGCGTCCCAATCTGGGTGGTTTGTTTGCTTGTTTGAATCTCTGCAGAATCCCCCCAATGATGAAAATTTAATAATATGTTGCATCACCAAAATTAATTTATACAAGTTATATTTTTAACAATTAACCTAAATTTAACTTACTTAAACATACTGGGATTTAATAGTCCATCTGTTGACACTCTACAAGATATCAGTAGCTATTCAGTAGCATGTCAACTGACATTCAACCAGTTTCAACAGACAAGTAACATGCATTGAACTAACTGTCAGTAGATTATAAGACTATAGACTATGTACAGTGTGTCCGTTGACTATAAATATGTTTATTGAAACAGGTTATTAACCAATAATAAATTAGCTATCCAGATTGGCTCTCTAAATTGACTATGAACTACTCTAAATGAATCTGTCGGTTAAAAGTCAGCAGGGTCATGTGAGTATGATATTATGTTGTCCTTACTCACAAGGTACCTCAAACTCATCAAATGAATTATTGGTTGACTATCTGTTGATAATCGGTTGATCATTTATTAAATTACCAAAGATTAGTTGATGATCAACAGATCTGTTGTTTGTGAACTTTGACCTTTGTGATCTGCCACATTTCT